GGTCAGTAACGGAAACAGTGATGCAGCTGATACCATAGCAGCAGCCCGCTTTGTTTATGCATTCAGACATAGTGAAGACAAGCTTCCTGAATTTAAAACTATTCATCAGATTTGAGCAGAAAGTTGATTTTAAGTGACTTTGAATATGGCGTTGCTGTTGGTGCAGGACAGGCTGAGTATTTAAAAAGACCTGCTGATTGGCTGGGGTTTTTCACACAAATACCATCTCTTGGTGTTACCAAGAATGGTATAAAAATAGGAAAAGCTTCCAGTTAAAAATAGTTGTTTGGATAATACTCTTTGCTGGTGTAAGAGAATAAGACCCATCAAAGTTTAGAGGATAGAAACTCATCAGAAGCTTAATTAAGCAAACATTACAACCAAAGGTTACTAACTACAGGATGCATAGGAGCATCAAACTTTGAAACAGACTATATAGCAGTGTGTGGAAAAAAAAAAAGAAAACAGAGGATAAAATTCACACAGACTTCACAGATTTGAAGTCTTGGTTTCAGCTGTGAGATTCAGACGGCAGGGTCAAAATTTGGAGTAAACAAGATAAAAGCATTGATCCAGCCTGCTGCGCATCAACTGCTAATGCTGGTAGTGGTGCTATAATGGTGTGAGGGAATATTGTCTTGGAAACTATTAAGCCCACTTATAATAATTTGTTAATGTTTAAATGTCAAAGCCTTTCCGGGTATTGTGGCCACTGGCCATTCATGTCAAGTCATTTATAGGATAGAAAACGAGCTAGAAATATTCGTCACTGTTCCATGGTGAAGGAAATTCAGGTCTTTTCCCAACAAAGCAAAAAGCCCTAAAAAAATTACAAGACTGAACAACTATAAGAGGTAGAATAAAAAAAAATAAGTCACTAAGTAAATTAAAATAGAATGTATAGTAAAAAAGAAATCCTATTAATTTACCAAAATGGCTGTTTGCAACATAGTCTGACCATGCTTAAGGAAAAAAGCAACTGTTTCTTCACATAAAAATAATAACTGAGAATAAACGTACTGTAAACAGTTGTTGAATAAATTAAAACTGTATGATCTTATCTGCAGTTAGGATGATCAGAAAATGTTTTTTTTTTTTGTTTTGTATTTTTTAAACACAACAAAACCAAATAAGACTCCAATAAATGTAAAAATAGCAAGATATGAAACATTACGGCAGAAGGTAGAAGTTTTCTGGACCTTACTGACATTCTTACTGCAGCTATAACTGACCCGGTAGCATTCTGCCACCATACAGGTGAGATGAAACACATTCCAGCAATCAGTGTTTCCATATTGTGTGGTATTACATAGTGATACCTCAATCTTTGTAACTTTAAACACATAGCATGATTTTGCACATAGTTTTTTTTTTTTAATAGTCTGATTTGATAATGATTCCTGATAAAAATCTTTTTATCCTGGAAGACAGATCTGGAACTCATTCAGAGAGGTGCAACTGGTAAATAGAAACAGAGTTTGGGTGGAACGTGCAAGCTTCCATGTTGACACCAGCGGTTGCAAATCACAAATCTCTTGTAATATCCCGATCTGTGACTATGGGCTTTGTTATATGACTTATATGCTGCTGATGTAACCTACCAGCACTGCAGTGTTCATGTGCATTTGCTTGGTTGCCGTTGGTGAGTGCGTGGCGGCAGATGGTGGGAGTGGTATTACCACGGGGCGATGGACAGTGCACAAGGCGAGCCGGCTGTGTTGACTACAGCAAAGACACTCTCTGTCTGTTTCTCTCAGGCTCTCTCCATCCCCTCACCCTCTTCCTCCTGTGTCAGCCGAATGAATGGCTGGCTATCTTTCTCAGTCAGCAGCAGCACTACTCTTTCATCATCTGTCCTTCTGCTTGTGCATTCATTCCTCTAAAAGAATGTCAGACTGGTCCATCACTCCCTACATCCATCCCTCCATCTGTCAGATGAATATCTATCTCTTCACCGACTTTTCCTGCCTTTCAGTCCATCGCCGTACCCCTTCCCCTTTGAGGGTTTGTGTGTTTTCTTCTTAAGTGTGATTGTGCATGTGCAGTGGTGTGTTTGTTTGTTTGTTGATGTGTTTTCCAGTCTTCTTATGACTGTGTGTGTGTTGATGTGTGCCAGATCAGTATCTGTCCCCTTATCCCTCCCTCCTCCCCTTTCTGACCAAGTGTGTGTGTGTGTGTGTGGTGTGAATCAAGGTCAGTGGGAATCTGCTGGCAGACGCCAACCATCCACCCCATCCCACCACACCCCCCTCCTTTCCACACACACACACACACACACACACACACAGATGGAAGGTTTGTGTGCATTGCGTCCATCCAGCCATCTAGATGTCCCTGCTTTGTTTGCCTCAGCTCAGTTTAGCTCGGGCTCAGCTCGGCTCTACGGATTAATTACTGGGGAACCCACTGCGTCTCTGACCTCCGCCATTGGACTAATTGAAATCTAATTGAATTGTGCTTGTCTCTACTAATGAAGCCCCACCACTAAAAGCGCCAATCTTTTAGCCTTGGCTGCAAACCTTTAACCGCCCAGCTAAAACATACTGACATCATTCTGCAGTTCAGTTTGTGGAAAGTTAAATTATGAAATGTTGTTGGAAGTTATTGTAAGTTTATTTAGTTTTTTTTTTTTCTGGAAGGTAAATTGGACATAATTAGTATTTAAATGGATTGAATGTACTCAGTTTTCCAAGCCTGCTAGATAAATTTGTAAATTGCCTTGTTGAAAATTCAGGAATTTATATGCGGCTCTGAATCTCTAGGTTTTGCCACCTTCTCAAAAGGTTGCAGTATGAAAGCATTTTTGCTTGTCTCGTGTAGCATCATGGTATCTGTGGGGGTAGTTTGAAATTTAGTCCACCAGATGACTCTGCTCACTTAAGCCTCTTTCTCTTTGGACAGCCCTCAAGCCCCCTCCACATACCAGTGGCTTTTACCTTCAATGAAAAAACACAGCTATCATTTATTCCTGCAGCAAATCAATCCACACCCACTATCCGTGTTTTAAGGCATTGTTACCGATAGGTAAGATTTAGTGTCTCTATCTGACAAAAAAAAGCAACATAAAACTGTTGCAATTAAAATCCGTTTGATATGTTTCTTAATTGTAAATAATTTTCTTAAAGGATCTTGTCACTATATAATAATTTTTTTAAGGCTGGATCATTAGCTGAGCAATAATCACCAAAATATATTAAATATTCTGATTCTGCTTTCATTGGCTGTTGGTAAAAGCAGAAAGTAGCCATTGCACATCTTCATTCTGGTACCTGAACTTTATTTTTTCCTACTTATTTATCTTAAAAAGATAGTTTTCAAAAAAAGCAAAACTGAATCTCTTGTGTTCTTTTTGGGTATGTTTAGCCAGATAATGTTAACTATTACTATTAAGGAGAAAACACTCAGTACTCCACAAACAAAGCCTCTATTTTTATTAAATAAGCACCAATAAGTAGTGCTTCACAATATTAGGCAATGGGACTATATTAATATTAATTCTAGAGCTCTCTGTGACCTTTAGCATTGCGGGCACTGCCATCTTTGTCAGCTTTGTGATTATCTTTTGCAGACAGTCTGTAAAAAAATGAATATTTCACTGAGATGTAAAGTGTTTATCGATGCAGGTTTGAAATAAGAAAATGCAAACATTGTATTACTAATCGCCCTTTGGAATATTATGATTGTGTTTATTAATTCTGTGCTGTGTATTCTGTTATGTTCAGTTGCTGGAATAGGTCTTTATTTAGTAATACAATCACATATCATGGTGGCAATTAGATGGTGTGTTAGGAACTCTAAAATGTTTAATGTTTTGATAAACCTCAATCTCATTCGTATGAGTGGGGCTTTACCTGGTTTTATTCTAACTAGCAATATTCAATGCATTTCAGTTTATTTATATCAAGTCATTTAACAGGGTCAGTTCAGTCAAATCATCCAGACAGAGCGTTTCAAAATCTTTCTATCTAAGGTAACCCAGCTAATTTCATTGAGTCTATTCACTTCGCAGAATTCGCTTCCACTGAATGAGCATATAGGGACAGGAAACTACAGCAGTTTTCACATTATGTCACATTTATCAGAAAATAGGGCCTACTGTTGTTTTATTCCCGAATGCATTAGTTGGCATTATAGGTCATTTGAAATTGCCAACCACTTAAAAGGTTTACTTTCTTTGAAAAGATGTGCATAAATACAATAAGCAAGCTCTAAAAGGGTTTGACAGTGATGCAGGCTGTACGCATAAAATGTGTGGAGACATCTTGAAAGGTAATATTGTAAATCTCATGGGGCTATAAAATTAACCCATCTAAAAAGGAAGGAAGAGAAAAAAACTACCAACAGAAAAATTCCTCTGAGAAAAACCCTTTTTGCATATTTCAACTCCTGCAAAGAAAACAACTACGGCATCAAAAAACATCAACAGTGCTCATGATTGTACAACGTCATGGAGACTATAGAGGAGGCGGGCTGCTGTCAGCAGAGCTTAAGACTGACATGGGCGGCGGGTGGTGGTGGACCCCCCTGGGATTTGCTTGTTTTGTTCGGCCTTCTTTAGCTTTTAGCAGGTGAGAGATCATACAACTATTGTTTTGAGGTATTCATTTGATGTTTCTTCCCATCTCAGCTCCTTGTTGGCTTGAATACATTAGCAGCGTGGCAGTGTAGTGGGGATGCTAATGTAGAAGTGGGTGAGAGGAGGAGGAGAGGAAGAAAGGATGGAGGCAGCGGAGGAAAGAAGGAATCGGTCATTAGGGGGAGGAGGAGGAGAGAGGCAGAGGACAAGGTTTTTATAAAGTGTGGGAAGACGAAGTGACCTTCCCTTTCACTTTCATCTTGGCCACACACACACACACACACACACACACACATGCCTTTACACACCAAAGCAACATGAAGTGTGTGTCACAGACTGTTTAAAAACAGCTTAACATGCAACCCACCCTTCTCCATATGTGTTTTCATACGTTCTCTCTTTTTTTTGTCTTTCACTTGTGCAGGTCCCCTTGCAACCTGGCCAGTCTTTCAAGTTCACAGTCCTGGAAACTCTGGACCGAATCAAGGAGGAATTCCAGTTCCTCCAGGCTCAATATCACAGGTACACTCATATGGCAAATGCAAAAATGCGTACACATTTTAAAATAGGTTATGTGGTCTTCAAGACAAACTTGGTACAAAACTTTTTAAACTTATTTCTGATGCAATCAAATATCAGCAAAGATTCAACAAAAGAGGATAATAATCTGCCTCAAGGTCTGCCTCTTTCATACATCTTGAACTTAAATCATGTGCAGGTTCTTTGGGAGTGATCATAACCGCCATAGTCTCTATGTTGTAGGGATATTTAAGAATGAAGATGTAAGAAGTGCTCTAAAAGTAGTTTTAATGCCATGCTATCTAATGCCTTTTTGTGTTTTGGTACACTTGAATGTTAGGTAAACAACTTTAAATGTATTCCCACTGTTTTTGCCAGTGATGAAAATGTATGCTAAATTATAATTGGTTTGAAAACATATAAAACTAATTCATGTATTAACAGCTAGTTGAACTGAAGGATTTTAGTGATAGAAAGATGAGGAGAGCTGTTTTTCTTGTTTTAGATTATCACTGCTTGCATTGAATTTGACACATTTGAAATTAAAGCAGGTATTTATTCTGGAGCCACTGCAGTGGGTTGATTACATAGCAGTGTACAGATGATGCATAATTACACAACAGGATACAGAGGCTTATGCAGAAGTGCAGTGAATTGTGGAGAAACCCTGATGAGGATTTTTGTCATGACGACGGTGTAATTCATTGTTGCACTCAAAAGGCCAGAAGTTGTCATCTGAGAATTTTGGAAGAAACTTTAAATGGGTAGAAACTCATTTTGTTTCTCCTGTGGAATTTATTACAAGATGGAAACAAACTGTGTGACTCAGATGTATTTGTGTTGTGCAGCCTGAAGCTGGAATGTGAAAAGCTGGCCAGTGAGAAGACGGAGATGCAGAGACACTACATCATGGTGAGTCCTCTTGGTTTTGGTGGACATGTGTAGGGTCAATTTGTTTAAGAAGAAAAAAAAACTGAATTACTGGTTAGACTTATGTTATCTGGAAGAATTAATGTCTTTGTGAGGGTTGTGATTACCTTTGTGTCAAACAGAGACAAGCTCAAGTAAAGGCAGTGCAAATTTTGTAAAAACAAAAGAAAATACATTTTCAACATCCTTTATTTATGCTCCAAAGTCCTCCAATGTTAGCAGAACATTTTTCCCCCTAAGCTTGTAACTTACATTACTCACAATAGTGTGGTGCATCTTTTTATCTTCCATTTCTCATTTCTGCTTCAAACCCCTTATATTAGTATTTCAATCAGTGTCTGTAGCCTTTGTTCTCCTTTCCTGCACCAACAACCTGAGCTCCCTGTGTCAGTTTGTTTAAGAAACTAAAGGCTCACTTCCGTTAAAAGCCTTCGTCTGTGGTACAAAACCCACACCGAGCCAACCAGAATACGATATGCACCATCTGCTAAGCTGCTCACATTTCATAAACCTGGGAGAGCAGGAAGGATCAGGGCTGTAAGCTAGATAGACACACAGATGGGTAGACAGAAAGAGGAAGATGGAGAGAGGCACGCAGAAACTAGGAGAGTGTGAGGAAAAAAGCGAGAAGAAAAATGGTCAGTCAGACAAAATGATACAGAGTCACTTTGAAAAACAACAGATCAGATGATGTCATACACACATACCCTGAAAAACACAGCTAGATATATATCTATATGTACAGCAGATAGATTATAGATAGATAGATAGATAGATAGATAGATAGATAAATTATCTGATGATTAAAGTTCTATTTCAGTGGAAACAAACTTTCTATTAACCCTATATGGCACATTCAGTTTAACACAAGTTTCTACTGCTTCCTGCTGCTCGACAGTGTTTGAATTTATATGGACTTTACTATATGTATTTTTTAATAATATGTGGGTGAATTCATTCTTTTAGGTGATCTGTTTATTGTCTGGCAGTATGTAATCATTCTGCTCTGACATGTAAAGGAGTGTTACTATGCCGACAAACCCTATTTCGCTATGTACCTGAAATAATTAATCATTGCAGACTTTACTTTTTTCCCAGCAAATTAAATATTTTTGTAATGTCTCACCTGTCTGATTTCCTGCTGTTGGAGGATCGGCTTTGTTCTGCAAAACTTAACTATATAAACAGATTTTGGATATAATCCGTTGCAAGTGTGAGAAAATCCTCTCATTGAAATAAAACATTTTACAATAGCACAGTGATTACAATCAGTACTGGCTTAGCCCTCAAAGCAAAACAACTAAAAGGCTGTGGGGGGAAAAAAAATCATGCTTTGTGTTCTTGGGAATCTGGCGACGTTTATCAAATTGAAGGGTCTTGGTTTAAATGTTTTAATGAAGGAAGTTAAAGTGCAAAGAAAACGTCTGCATTGTGTGTCGGCTCAACTACTCGTCTTTGTTGTTTTTTAGTTTCTGGGCTCAAGTTTTTTGCACCATGATCAGTTGAACTCAATTTGCATTTCAAGAGAGGAAAACTCTGTTGCAATAGTGAGTAGAGCCAGCACTGTTTATGACAAGTAAAAATAAAATACTTTTTTGAGAATATGTGCTTTTATAATTAAATTTCTGTCTCAATCAGGGTTTTTTGTTTCAGTCAGCTGAGATTAGGGGTTTGCATTTATTGAGTCCCAGCCTGGTAGGCACTGTAATGCTTTCAAACCTTTGTCCATTACACTGACAGGTATTCTGTCACAAACTGAGTTACTGAGGCTCAGGTTGGGACAGCTCTTGGGGTTTCATCACACAGGGACAGTAGGAAGAAGCCAACTGCAAAGTTCTGACATCTATACCCCTCAACTGACATGCTGCATGTAACAAAAATGTTTGCACATTAGATAATACACTATAGTGCTAGACTGATTTTTTGGCTCATGTATTTGCTATTTTGGTATGATCTATTCATATCTCAGTCAAAACACTGAGTTCTAGTCAATCACTTTAAACACATTTATATAACACAATATTTTTCTGCTTGATTCATTCAGTGCTCCGCTTTAGCTATTGTAAAAATTTACTCACCAGATCCTCAGGTAAACTCTGCACAGTCCTCTCCCATATCAAGGTGTCATAACATTACATGGAGCTCCCAGTTTCATTACATCAACAGTATATTGTCCATGGTTTGTTTTACAGTGTTGCAGATTAGTCAGAAAGAAATATTGGCTGTGAGAGAACTTGGCCACATGGCTTGATGGAACTATGGGTGCAGCTGACATGAAACTACACACATACATCAAAGGCTGTCTTCACTCTGGGAGTTAAATGCTTATAATTTAGAAAGCTGTTTGGGATTTCTCCAGTTTTGTAAAATAAATATGAAGTTAAAGCTCAAAATTACTTGTGACTCTTGTAGATTTTAGTATAAAGTCATATTTTTTATCTTGTTATTTCTAACTGAAAGCAATATTAAAGTGTATGGAGCGGCCCAACTAGAGTCCGAACTTAAAGATTAGGATCATGGCACTGAGGGTGTCCAACCGCACTTGTCACCAAAAATAAAATAGTCAAAATACCAACAAAAACTTGTCGAGTATTTTATAAATTATAAGGGGTTTGTTTGGTGTAATGGCAATAATCCTTTCTGTATGTAATAAGGAGAAGGGTACAAGTATGTTTTAATATTTCAATTTTATTAGAATATAAATAAAAAAACAATGACTACTTTATTTATTTTATATTTAGTTTGAGTTATATATGTTATATGTGCAACTTTAACTGCAAAAAAAAAATAAATAGAAAAGACAAGCATTTTTTTTTTTTACCTTCATTCACTATTCAGTCCTGTCAGTGGTTAAAAGGATTTTTGGACATTTATTGTTAAGGAAAAATAGTGAAATACATGTTTTCATCTCTATGCTAACACTGTTCCACAACTGAGCTCTACCAACAAACAAGCTTCTCTGTTTATAACATTCTTTTGGCCTTTGTTACAATAATCTTACATTCATCTTTTAGACTTAATTTTTTTTGTGCAGTGCAGAATGTTTTTCAACATCTGGCATTACCTTTATCCACATATGTGCTTCTTTAACTGTTAATTTAACTTTTTGGATGAAGGAAAATAATTGTAATTTTTAATCTATGAAGTATATGATTTTTATATTTAGCCTTTCGTGTAATTGTTAGACATAAGCAATTTTCATAGAATAAGAAAAGAAGGGGGGCAGAAGTTCAGTGACCAATCCATAAAACCTAATCATTAAAGCTGATCAGATGGATTGAAATACCGTAATAAAAAATCCAAATTCCTATTTCTTTATTCTTTTCCTCTATTTAGTCGACATAGTAGGAAAAAAGGGTTTAGGACTGATGTTTAGAAACACTGTCTTCTCTTGTCACATGTGCTCCATTAGGTTTTACTGAATTACTGTGTGGAACAAATGGTCTGGACAACTCTTCCACCTGTGATTGTACAACAGAACATGTTTCTCTCTTTTTATATAGTCATGAATGTCTGCTGTCATCAAATCAAACTCCTTATGATAATATAGAAAAGGTCCTGGCTTATGTGACCATTGCTCTGCTGGTAAATGCTGCATCCTTAGGTTCATTGCAGGGTTGTAATAGTTCTCCATGGCAGGAGGTCATAGAACTGCAGATGCTGATGACATATTCATGTAGGTTAGCAAGGCAGACGTTTAGAACCCCAGGCTGTATTATTTCAACAAGGGCTCACTGTGGTGAACTGGATGGTTAACACAGTGCTCTGCTACTTCATAGGCATGGCTTCAAAATGAGAGGGAGGGAAAGAAAATGAGAGAGAGGAGCTCAAAGGGAAAGATAGCTGCAGAGAAATAAAAAGCTGCTCAGAGTGTCAGACAGAAAAAAGAAGCTACTGAGGGACAGAGGGAAGGGTACAAAGGAAAGAAGAGATAAAAAGAATAAAGAGGGAATGGAGGAGAGTGATCGATATGACTAAGATGAACACGGAAAAAGAGAAGGAATAAAAAGGAAATTCTGGGCGATGGGAGAAAAGATGGAGGGAGGAATAAAAAGATCCTGCAGAGGGACGAAATGGAGAGAATGCAACCCAGAGAGTAGGAGAAAGAGATAGCTGTGTGCTAGTGTGGGGGTGCATGAACTAAAAGAGAGAGGGTGCATGCACAGACACATAAATAATGTGAAGCAACAACGGACTCGCTGCGCCCACAGAGGAGATAACCCAGAAGGCTATATTTAGCTTGTTAGTCCTGTCATCCACTGAGGCCTGTTTCCACAGGCTGGAGGTCTGCTCACCATGCTGCATGGCTCCTGGTTTTACTATTCATCACTGCTAAGCCCCTAAATATACTGGGCTGGAACGTGGAGCCATAGTTTTATGTGATTATGTGCAACCTGTGCATATTAATGTTTTTATGTAAGACTAACCAGCTAACTAAGAGGATCATATAGGTCTTAATAATTATATATATTCTTAATATAAAGTGGCTGATTATAATAAGATGTAAAATTCAGAGAGACAGAAGAGTCTGAGTGGATTAGCTTTGTTTTCTACCTACAGCAATTGCTGTTTCCTTTCAGCCCTATTCTTTGTTCAAGGCTGTAGAAATCAGTACATATCCTGCTGCTGTCTGCACATTTTCACCTAATTTCCAACAACTCCACTAGAGACCTGCATAGAAATCACCACAGCACTCTTATAATTATCACAAACAAAACATTGGTTTTAAACTGATTCACCATAATATTTAAATCCCAAAGATTTAAAGGAGATGGCAGCACAGCAGCAGTAAAGTCTTGCGTCAGCGAGCCAATGATTGGGCTATAGTCTGCTCCAAACGTTAGATTATTGTTTTGGTTTTTCCAAAGCCAGAGCTACCTTGATAGCACATAATTGCATCCCTTAAACTTGTCTTCCCCTTTGGTTTGATATTCCCACAGATCTCTCATGATTTTCTGTAGATGGCAAACCATATTAATCTG